GGGGAGTGAAACTCTGGGATACTTCAAATTGTGAAAAGGATGAAAATATAATGTAAAATGAAATCTGTCAAATGACAAACTGAATAATTCTTAAACATAAAACCCATCAGTGATTAACACTGCCCAGGCAGACTGACTGACTGACAGACAGGCAGAGATAACACTCAGCGACAGACAGTGACAAACAGACAGAAGGGAGGGGAGAAGGAGCCCTCATTACCTGCCAGCCCAGCAGACACCATGTGCACCTGGGTAGAGTCCGGCTCCAGGACCCCATTCAGCTTCTCCTTGGCAGTTGAATAGGCCGCAAAGTAGATCGCCCTGTTGCAAATGACCATGAGGAAGAAATGAGACAGAGGTTAGTAAGATAATAAAAACACTGGTTCAATGATTGACTACTACTGACTAGAGAGGAAACAGCAGGACTCATCAGCTTCTTCAGTTTGAACACAGATCAAAAATGATGAGCACAAAAAATAAGTATTCAGAAGATTAACTACACTATAAAAGACAACTGGAACCATGAGTTCCCCAAATAAAGATAAAGATTTGTATTATTGCAAGATATATATACACAGAGCAGCGTTACATTAACTGCATTAAATATGAAAACGTTATTTCAATTGCCTGAAATAAATACTGCCTAAATTGTACCTGAGGACATGAAATAGAGTCAGGCTAAAATGTGGTCTTTCAGGCAACTGAAAGAAGTTTATCTGTGCCTGTGTGTGTGTGTGTGTGTGTGTGTGTGTGTGTGTGTGTGTGCGCATCTCAATCTCACAGCGTGCTTTAGTAGCAGATTTATCTCCCATGATTCTAGCTTCTCCTCACTAAATAAAATCACAGAATTTAGCCAGCATTTGTGTGGAGTTAAACCCACTGACCTTCCCTCTCTGCCCTCCCTCTGAATTGAGAGCATGCATGCACAACATAATCATGCTGCTCTGCAGATGAGCGATGAATTTTGGGAGTTGGTCTGAATGCGTGTGTGCATCTTTCGTACGCTGCTGGTGCGAGCTGTACTATGTGTGTGTGTGTGTGTGTGTGTGTGTTTTGCGAATGAATGCCAGCAGCAAGCCCAGTGGACTGCGCCCTCATTAGGATCAGAAGATTGTATTCAAGTTTTCCAGCATCAGAGTGATGCTTCCTAATTATAACAGGAGAGAATAACTCTGTAACCCAGCAACCCAGAACCTCTATCTTGTAGACAAATTATTCTGTAATTACACTCAATTCATTTTAAGCTTTACCTTGATCAGACTGCAATTATATTACATCTTGCGCTGTCATACATCTCCCGCCGTAAACCATAGAGATGTTGATGGGACAATCACATACAGTACATATTTGATGATGTACTGTATCGTTTATGTCACACAGCCTGAATCTGATATTACATAAAACCACACATAAGACAGCCGGAAATCTCATATGTTAGCATTGAGTTCCTCAGGCTCACGTCTTATGCAACAATATCTTCCTATAGCACAGTCAGCTATGGCTGTCATAACAAGGAAACAAGCTACCATTTCCATAGCTGGACAACTCGCCCGTGGGACTGACACACACATGCGCACGCACACCCAAGGGCATTTGTGACCCTTCAGAGTCCGAGCCAGGCACAGTCAGACAGCAGAGACGGTGCAGAAACCCAGAGGACAGGGAGAAAATGAATCGGATTGAATACAGGCAAAGAATGACAAATATGGCAAAAGAGGGAGAGGCAGAGAATAAGAGCGTGGAAAGGATGACTCACAGAGAGAGAAAGAGACCACAACGAACCAACGGGAAGAGGACAACAATGGCCATGTGATGCAGCAGTAGCTAGGGAGAGCCAGACAGGTCGGGGAGGGGGATTAGACACAAACACAACTCTCAATGTAGGAACTCCATTGTGCGAATTCACAACAACATCAGCAGTCACATGACCAGAGTGTCATAGCTGGCTGTGCCCTGCTGTTGTAGATGTTTCATTCAGACTTTCACTGAGCTCAGGCTGTTATGCAACCATAAGCAGCCAAGCTAAGGGAGAGGGAACCTACTCATTTCCTGTAGCAGTTAAAGCACACGTTCACATTATATGTCTGGGAGTTTAACTGTGTTCGTGGCCTGCTGTTATTAAGCTTAAAAAATAAATAAAATAAATTCTAGCAAATGCAAATACGTTCCTCTACAAAAATGCGTGCCCAGGTTGGTGGTACAGCTAGTGCTGATAAGAGTGATTCATTCTCATTTCCTATAAACATAAAAGGTTGTGGTGACCTGTTATCAGATATCTAAGTATAGATTATTTCATTTTCCCTAACTTTTGGATTTATTCTGTACGTTGTAATTCTGTACTCAACCAAAGACAATCTTGGTCGACTGAAATTCTACCTTCACTGCGACCAATCGATTGGCCAATGGGGACAAAAAAAAAAAAAAACGGAGAATTTGGTCAGACAAGAGCCTATTGACCAACCAGCCGACCTACATTTTTGGTGTAATCGCAGGAGAAGACATACACCACACCCAGAATACTGTAGATAATACTGAACATACCTGGAAGGTGCCACGCCCACAAGATTGGGCCCCAGTCCTCTGAAGAGAGAACGAGGACCTTCTCTCTCTAGAATTAACCTGCAGAGAGATGTTTTCTTGGTTATTCCATTATAGCACAGAGCAAATACACAGTATATTTAACATCCATGTAATATGCTTTATATGAATGTATACCATTGGAGAAATCATCATGTGACCGGCTGGAGAATAACATGCATACTTTGCTCAAGTTAAATCACAGTTATGATTTCACATCTACCACACATTTGGCCACTATCATCATACAGGGAGACATAGAATAAATGAAGTGACAGGTGTCATCATGACGGCTCACGTGTTCATTGTCAGTCGTCACGGGAGTTCAAAGACTGTTTATTGGTCTCCAGCCTAACCTAGAAACCTCACTCAGAACGTGCATGGCTTATGGTTGACCTTCAGTTATTGCACGGTTTCAGATAAACTGTGATGCAAAGTACATTCAAATAAAAACAACGCTGAAAAGAAATAAGAGGCCTTTGGGCTCGATTAGGAACCTTTCGGGTAGATTCAATTCTCTAGACTTGGGCCATCCCACACAATTTAGAGCACAGTGAAGTGTTGTGTTCAGCTTGTGGCTTTGTGGACTGTGCCTTCCAACCCTGGCTGTGAGGTTTTGCCAACTTCTGTTCACAGCGAAATACTCTCTCAAAAATTACTTCCAGAATACAGGATCTCCTCAAGAGTAATCGCACAAACCCGACACAACAAACAGAGCGTCAGTGTTTTTCACAGTCGAAACACTTAAATCATGAGCTAACAACCTCTAAAATGGAACATGCCTTCACCACACGCCATGTTGACACACTTTGACATGTGAGGGTTTTTTTCCTTTCCGTACTGCTTTTCCCTCTTCTGCCCTGCTCCACTCTGTATTGCGCAACAGTGGTGTACAGTTTCTGCTTGTGGCAGTTTCTCTCAAGGACAACACAAGAAGTTGGTTTATGTCGACAGAAGACCAAACTTCTTGAGCCCATAACATTGCTTCGATTAACTGCAATCAAAAAAGGCATTAGTACTATGTTATTAAACAAAATCCTGAAGAAAGCAATGTGAACAAAGTCTTGTTAAAGGCAGGCAAAGTGACAAAGGAAAATATTCCCAACTATAGCAACAGCCAGGGAGAGCAACTCAACATTTTAGCCAAACAAATGTGAGAAACACATCCTGATTATTTTGCCTGTATATCCTGGCAAATCTGTATTTCGTGGTAAAAGTCTTTGTTAAAAATCTATATTTTTCCTGAGATATAAAGTAAATGTTTAAAATTAAATTTAAATTAAATTCGAAAAAAAATGCTATCAATTAATTACATGTTTATTATTATTTCTATTACTTTATTGTATATTGTGCATTTTTATCTATTTTTTGGCAAATTATAAAATTATTTAAGAGGTGCTGGATTATTTACACAATATTAGTATATGTGTGTTATTACCGTGACGTCAATATTGAATTTTTAAATATCAGTTTTCATGTATACCGGCATATTGCGACACCCAGATTCCTTGTTCGTTAAATACAGAATGCAAGTATTTGACCTTGGAAAATTCCACACAGCAGCGTGTGCATTTTGCAATCCGTTTAACACTGTATGACATGCTCAGTGATAGTCATGGCAATAGATTGCCTACAAGAGTAGAGCACTGTAGCTGTGTTGCACATTTAGTTTAATTTCATAGTGACCAACGTTAATTACGAGTTCTGGCTTTCAGTAGATTCCAAATAAACACCTAACCAATACTGGATTCCTCTATACTCTCACTTCCCATCTGTCTGGTAACTTTCCACTGTCTAATGATAACAGCGATGACATTTCATGTGTCAAAAACGGGAACTTTATTTTGGTTTCCCAGTAGTTGTCTTTAGAGAAAGAACCCAAAACAGCCCCAGGGCTTCAAGGTCAAAACGAAGCTTAGAATAACCTACTCTGTACTTTTTATCTGGTGCATCACTCAAATGTCTCGGTTGTAGATTCTGCTGATCTCTAACAACCAAACAAATTATTCCCGAAGAGAACATTCACTAGCAATCTCAAAAATCTTGAAAGCTACTACCCAGGGCAGCTTTAAGGCTAAATGCATCATCCAGAGTACGTTTTTTTTGCCAATTTCGAGTCAACGAGTCCCTGTTGAGGTAAATAATGATCCTCTAGAATCACATTTGTTCTTAGGAAGTATTGAGAAATAACTAAGTGTAAAATAACAATAGTTAATATAAACTCACGGGAAGATTATAGTGATACAGGACATGCAAACAACCAGTTTCATTATCATCGCCGCCAGGAGGATCGTGTGATCAGTCACGTCTGTGCGTGTGTCTGTAAGTGAGTGTGCACCTCTGTGTCTGTCCACAGCTAATCTCGCATTCTGCTGCAGCAAACTGCATAAACTTTTTGGGTGACTCATTACGGCTGCATACTCAAGGACCTCTGGTGGTTGCAGTGAATCACCTGGCGGATATCTGCAACATTCTAGTTCTTACTGTGGATTCACTTTAGAGTACCACAGACAGCCAATGGACAAGTTCACCAACTGATATAGACGTTTGCTGCGACAACAAACACGGTGTGTGTTTCACAGCTCTAACAGAATTGTATTTGTATCTTTCAGACTTTCTTCCATCTAATCCTGTCTTTGCACATTCATTGAGTGAGTAATACAACTCAGGTTAACTGCAAATTTTCTCGTAAACTGACATAATGTCAACTTGTTGAGGCGTGCTTTTGCCTGAATTTGTGCTGCAGATTTGCATCCGTTAGCATCCTTTTCCATCTTGCCATAACATTGTACAGGATGTATTTAGGCCTTAAGTCTATTTTACTAATGAGGTGACCCCTTACCTCCCTAATTTACCCACAAACATTTTGTGGAACAATCACTACTAGTTTGGATATGATAGTATTAACATTCACTGTTCATTTCACGCAGCTAGAATTGTCAGATAGACTAAAAGACTAAAACAACACAGAAGCTTTATCACAATATCACAAAATCCCAGATTATATTCATAATAATAACAACATTGATTGACAATTTAATATAAACTGTTTAATATAAACAAAACATCTGAAAATTTGCTCAGAATCGGTTAAGATAAGTATTCTACCCCCTTATCTTGTCGCTAACAAAAACTAACCTTTGCATGGTTCCTTTTCTGAATGATCCCTAATATAGTAAAGTTAGTACGATTAACATTTTGCGCAATGCCACTTACTTGAGACAGTGCAGAGGCCCTGGTGGAGCGACACGGGCCACACTGGCTCCATTAACGGTGCTGAGATGGACTTCAGAGACGTAGAGAGTGACGGAGGAGGACTGCAGTCTGGTCTTCACTACCTCCAGAGGACAAGTCAGAATTGCGCCCACTGTGCCACCACATCTAGAAGGGAGTAGAGAAGGGTTACGGTTAACCAAGATGTTAGAGCTCAGACTATGCGGGCTCAACAAAGCAGCAAGTTCATACAATTACAAGTATCATCATTATTATATTTGGTCCAAGTCATATTTAGCCTGTTTCCCCTGACAGTTTCTTTTTTTTCAAACCATCCTCTAATACTGATCTCCTCAAACACTGGTCACTGGTAATCTGTTATTCCTTCCTTAGCACTAAAATTATCTAGGAGCTGGCACATGCCATGACCTGGTGTTGGTGATATGCACGATACTGCAACATGCAAGCTGCCAGCTAAGAGTGTGTAACTGGTTTCATGATACTGTTCAGTGTGACTGTAACCACATTGCTGACTTTTGCCATCTGAGAAGGCAAAAATGAGTTGTCATGAATATTAGATTGTTGTTTAGCTCAATGAACTCTTGCACACATACACACTGAAAATAAAAACATGACTCCCTGAAAATAGGAGTTGAAGAAACTTGTGATCATGTTGCTGCGACTTTGACTGAAGCCATCAGCACATAAACAAACTAAAGTTAATTTAATTACAATCAATTTCCTTCTCATTAAATATCATCGCATGGTCAATTTCATTTATACGATATAATTAAGCACTATATTCTTATGAGCCCAAGGCTACCAGACATCATCTCAAAACAATATTCTGTCCCCATTCCTCATGTGTACGTTTGTTAATCGCCTCTGCTTTAACCAAAAACGTGGTGCTTTCCACAACAGGACTTAGACAAAGCTTCAACTATCATATCACCACAAAGATGAGAAGTGATACTACTTAGTGACAAACAATGCGAATACAATACAGGGTTAGTTAAGTGAATACTAGCTGTGAGCCTACAGTGGTGGATGCTGATATCTTGGCTGTTCAATTCCTCTAACTTTCAGTCTCTTCTGACTAGCACCAGCTATATTTACCTTTCAAAAGACCGACCATATGCATGCTCACAGGCAGCTGTGACCCTTGCCCTACTTTCAGAGCTACGCTGTCTGCTTTCTGCCTGCCTCTGTGTGTGTGTGTGTGTGTGTGTGTGTGTGTGTGTGTGTGTGTGTGTACACATAGTGGCTGTGAGAGGAAGCACTGTGCTGAGGACTCCAGCTCAGGTTTTTGGGGAAAGCAAAACTGACTTACTCAAGATAGCAATGTGTCTTGTTCTAGGATTTTATAAAAAAAAAAATTCCTGACAAGAGAGATAACAGAAGACTTGTGGTGTGATGAGCTTGCCCTATTTGAATGTCAATGGTTTGGGGCAGAGATGAAAGCAGAGGCGACAGACGAAGAGAAACTGAGGACAATATATTAAGTTAAGAGGGAGACATGCTGTGTCAATACAATTCTAACTTTTACATCTGTGTTGTCATTTTCTTCGATGAAGTTGTTGGGCCACAAACAGCAGAATACTTCCACCTAGTTTGGACAGCTACGCAAAAGAGAGAAACATCTTTAGATGATCATTTTTAGGACCAAATATTATCAGATGAATGTTTGCAGGCTAATGCTCATCTGCTATATCTGGGTGTCTTTGACATGGAACTGTGTGGGAACCCTTAAACAGTACTAAAAAAAAAGTTAACGCTACAGGAGTTGTGATTTCAACAGATAATATTAACATCCATAAATAAAAGAGAGATAAAATATGCAGATACTAAGTTATTTGACTCTCAGGTTCTTAAAATGTCAAATCTTTGGAGAAAAAGGAGAAGCACTGCTGCAGAACTTCATCAAGCTATCGAGAGAGAGCAGCAACGAGCCCGGAAATAAATGGAGTTGCCTTCGAAATAAAAGCATAAATCGTTTCAATTAAATAGAAGAAGTCTATGTATTTACAGATAAAAAAGGTTTAACACTCAGTGGTATACCTGAAGCCACAACTACAAACGCCCTCTCTGTGCTGTCACATTTATGTTAATAGTTTACTGTTCAAGTGGTCTTATTTTGAAATGTTCACAGGAAGTTTGGTTTAAACCGACAGTTTTGACACTGGCGTGCACACAGCTGACACACGCACGCACTGCATGATAAAAAACGGCCCTCGTTAGCCATCTTGACCTGGCGAGATAACCCAGATGACGAGTCACGTCAGAAGTACCGAGACTGATGATTTTAAAACGAACCCAATATCTAAATGAAAGTCGTATTTTGACTCACCCTCCAGCGAACAAATGAACCAGTGTGTCCCTTTGGCTCATTATTTAGCACACCCCGCTAAGCAGCGCACCTCGGGGCTGCGGCAGAGGGTCAAATGCGGGCTCGGGTCCGTCCCTTCCCGTCGCTTTGTGCCTCCGAGAGGATGCGCACGTCGATGGGGCAAACGTCGTCGATGATGAACCAGCAGTGGGGCGAGTCGGCGGTGATTCAGACTGCAGTGGGCCGATAAAAAAAAAAACCTCTGTCGCTCTCAGCTTGTTCGGGTTCCCCTCTCACACAGAAAGCGTCTTATCTTCGACTGAAACCACTGCAGAGCTGCGCGCTCACCAGGCTAACAACTGGCAGAAGATTATTATCTCAGCTCTAACAAACGGTTTTATGGCACATCCACGGGTTTGTCTCGAATTTCTCCTCTGCTTTCATCGCTGCAGCGAGAGGGAAAGGGGGCAGAGCTCATAGTATTTACTGTACAATCATAGGCTGGGAAACAGACGCTGCTATTGGTCAGCTTGGTGCGTGACGTCACGTCGTCTCCGCCCTGACCATGCACTGTTCACATGCACAGCATTGAATTAACCAGGGCCGCATTATGTTGGGAACCGTTCTCTCAAGGCTGAGGAGAACCAACTCTAACAAGAACCGTGTTTTTTGTTGCTGTGTTTGTCTCATTGAGGTCAGGATTTTTTTTGGTCAGACAAAAGATTTAAACTAAAAGCAGACCACCTCACGACCAAAATTAAAAACAACAAAATAGAAAAGGTTGATCAACCAAGCAACAGTAAAACTAATCAAAACAATAGCTATCCTTACAATGTTTATTAAGTAATTGTGGGTAATCTTGCATTGCGATGTCATTACCCTGCTGGCTGTGTAATGGCAATATTTGATTTACAGGAGATTTGCATCAATGTAATGAGTACATTCAGTCAATTCCCTGACTTATCTGGTTATTTAATCCATAAAGTTGTTGTTTTTAAATCAAATTTCTCAATAATTTACTATATCACAATATTTAATGACCTTGACAGTACTTTATCACCGACTATGGATCTGAGTCCAGACAAAGCTGGGGATGCTCAACTTCCCATCCTTAAATCTTTTAAAGCTAGAAATCAACTATTTAACCTCAATCACAAATCCAGTGTGATAAAAGTGCCAAGCGTTTAGCTCCCTAAACTCTCACCTTGTCCCTTTGACAAAGCCTTTGGCTAAGCTCAAACACCTGGAAATAAAGGCCAGATTTTTAAGTGTAATAACTGTAATACTTGAAGTGCTGCAAAAACATGCAAACCGTCAGAGATTAAAATGGCCCACTGTCTATTAGAAATGATTGAGGACATCTGGACATTGTTATTGTTTAACCAGGCCTTTAACTAAGACCATTTGCTTATTCAAAGTATTTTAATCAAGAAAATGTTCTTAGTATTTTAATTTTAGGTGGAGCGAATGGCAGTTGATGATGAGTGATGATGATGTGGCTTGTTCAAGTGAATGTTGATAGCTCTTATCATGGCAGGGGACATGCAGTTTCATTCTCTTTCCCCAATAAGAAGGGCTTCACCAAAAGTGTGGGGTTTTTTTCTGACAGCTGCCACCCAATCAGCTGACTGCACTCAAAATAGTCAGTTGGTGATTCAATAATGGAGCTGAATGAGTACACACCGTTTTGTAATTGAGGGCACTGTATGACAAGTTGACCAGTCATGTGCATAGTTTCACTCTTCACATTTGTAGAGTCAAAACCAATAATGTCATGTTCTGCATTACAGAGGTTATGAAGGTCTCATGGCCCGGATGGATGAGGAAAGATGGGTGAAAGGGTATTTTACACAATACCAAACTATGATAAAAAGAATATATATATATATATCTTTATCGTCTTTTTTTCTTCAGATCATCACTTCTCTTCAACCTCGTATTTACGTGGAAAGAACAATAATTTTTTTGTATGTACCTCAGATCAACAGGAGTTTTGCGGGACCTTTTCAGTTTGTTCTTGGATATTTTATTACATGTTCTGGATAAAAATATATATTGTCAGTACCTTTGTGCGATTAACAGAGGTTGAGTTCATACAAAGTAAAAGCTGATTTACCTCTAATCAATAAAAATCAATAAAATAAATATTATGATTAAAGCTGTTTCATGTTTTCTGTTTTTTGCTGTTGTTTTTTTTTTTGCTGTGGGGCCATTCATATCTTTAAATCAATACTGTCCATAGGCCTATTGGGTTAAAGTCTAAAACATCAAAACTAAACAATCTGATGGGTGAACAAACACAGGGTAATATTCAGAATGGTCCTGAATGTTTTTCTTTGAAATCCCAATGCAGTTTTGATTTGTACTTGAGTGGCCCCTAATTGATGGACAGTAATTTAGTTATTTACAGTTTGTATTTCCCAGATTATATTAAAATTAAGTGATCCTGTTAATGCTGCTGAAGGTGACACAATATGTCCAGAATACTACTGACTGGCGTTGAGCTGGATGGTGTTAAATGGTCACCAAAGTATGCCATGAGACAGTTGATCGTTGAGTATTAACTTGTCGTGTGAGAGAGGCCTAGTTAGTTCTCACCAAGACTATATCCTGTGTCGGAAAATGAGCGAAACTGTGATGCTCATGAGGACTAATGCTGAGAGTTAAAGGATCACGAGATGGAACTGCAGCGATTGAATTATACTGTTATTGAAAGCCAAACGTGGTGAATAAATTACGGAATCTGTCTGTCTATATCCATCTGTCTGCCTCTCTGTTTTAACAGTGGCTGTCTCTCTCTCTCTCCATTTCTCTCTGTGGTATGCTGATGAACTATGTAAGAATATAGCAAGGTATGACACAGTAAAACATAAACTAAAGAAGTAATGTGCTTTATGTATATAAGTATTGCACATTAACACATTCAGTACAGATGAAGCTGAGTCAGGTCATTCTCAGGCATCAGGATGAGGAGAAATTCCTTCAGCAGCATGCAGGAATCCTGACAGACTGTCAGTGAAGTTAAACAATGGGAGCTACTATTGCGACAAACACATTGTGGCAGTTTGTTGAATCTCTGCTTTGTCATGCAAACAGTTTCAAACCTTGTCTACCAGCCTCAGACATGCATATTTGTGAGAAGCGATGGAGCAGCAATTGATCATGAATCCAGTAACCAGAACACAAGGCAAACCAACACACTCACACACGTTAACTGCAATTTACTGCTGAATATTTCAGAAAAAGCGCATTGTTTTATGTAAATGTAATTTTCTCACATTTCCAAACATGTGATGTTTAAATGAGTTGCAGTTCATTTTTGTTTCTGTCAATGTTAAAGTCCACAGACACTCATGTCTCATGATATCCCACACATGCGGAGAGGTAGTGGCTCATGGTTTCAGTTGGACTTTGACCAAACAGACAGGAATAGCTAATGAGAAACACGCTCTGTGTGTGTGTGTGTGTGTGTGTGTACTCAGATTACACTCACCACAAGTGAACCCTTTCTTATCAGTGCGTGGGTTCAAAAGGAACAAAAAGGTAGTGACAGGGGCAAAGGTTAAGGCAAAAATAGATATTGTTTGACTAATAGTTAAGAATTACATGTGTAGGTTACTATTTTCGGTCACAGTAAAGGGAAGTTTCAGAATTCATTTTAAAAGTCTCTGTCAAAGTTTTGAATGTTTCGGAATAATGCAGAATTAAATTGGGATATTGTCTTTTTTATATCTGGTAACAATATGCTCAATTTTGGTGCAAAAGTGACGCGTTCATGGCGTTTGACCAAAGTGGAGCTAGATCTGCCTGAGCCTTGCATTAGCTATAAGATCGAGGTCAGGTGGACATTTCAAAATGTTTGCTGCTGCAGGTTTTAATGTCATTGAGTTTACTTACGTAAAAAAGAAAATATTTTTATATAGTCTTTGACCATATTAAAAGATATTTCCAATTCCATTAACTCAACAAAGTGCAACACACCCTGTAGGTCAATAATAAGCAAGCAATTGAAAATTATAGACATTTAATATGTCATGAAATATACATGCTGATCACCAGTTCTGGTTGTACAGTACAAAACATACATATAGCAGCAGCACAGTATCAGCCATGCAGCATACATCAGGAGCTACTCAATAATATGAGACCTTGCACAAAGGAAGAGGGCAGTTTTGAATCCCTTTTTCAAACTATCATCTCAGCTTTGACACTTCACTATGCTCTTTAATATCATGTCATCAGGAATAAAACCAGACCAGGTGCAACTCTAGTTCACTTCTTGGTAATCTGTAATGTTTGACGTTTTTGAACCAGTGACCTACTTTACAATAATTTGTTGCTTAGACCTCTACAAAAACAAAAATGCCAGCCAAGCAATCACACCTAACCCAGTGGTGGATCGTGACTGACGTTTTAAAATCAATTACTAAAGTAAAAGTATATACTGCAATACAAAAATAATCCGTTATAAGAAGTCCTGCATTCATTTCTTTCTTAAGTTAAAGTTTGTAAGTTAGCAACATAATGTAGCCTACTTAAAGATAGATATTTTTTTGAGATATTTTATCATACTTTATATGGTCATTGTAGGTTTTCAAAAGCAAGATCTACAAAGTATAGGCCCACACACGGTTGACAATTCAAAGTAGTGGAGTAAAAAGTATAAGTAAGCAAAAGTAGAGAGGTATTATCAGCAAAATCCACATAACACTGCCATAAGTAAACATTTTCGTTATGCAGGAAAATGAATCATGTGAGTAGTGAGTAGACTACATTTCCATCTGAAATGTAGTGGGGTGCAAATGTAAAGTAGCATAAAATGTAAATACTCAAGTACAGTACAAGTACACACAAATTGTTTTCTTAAGAATAGCACATGGGTTAATGCTATTCAATACTTTCCTTTCCTCCACTACTACCTCAAAAATGTTGCAAAAGGATACTCCAAAAGCAACCTACTAGACACAAAAACCTATAATGAACATGAACTGTCAATGTTGTATTTTATCATTGAACTACTGGTGTCTTGGGACCGTAACAACCGTCCTCTCTGCAACGCGGGATGGACAAAACGCTGCCACCCAGCGGTGTTATTTTGTCACATCTGGATGGAGGATAAAGGTGGACTGACGTCGCTCGACCAGATTCATGGCCGTTTTCTTGTTAAAAACAAACCCACATACACAGGGACGATCACACGTCTCGTCGGTACAGTTTGAACCGTGCTCTGCATCCAGCCTCCTCGTAACGGCTGTTGCAACGGTCGTAAGCGGTAGACTATTTGTGTAATTGATAATATACACCAAAACGTTAGGAGTTGTTACTAGGAGTTACAACTCCTGGTAACAACTCCTAACGTTGTTGTTAGGAGTTGTTACTCCTAACGTTTTACTGACCTCCTACACAGCACATTCAGCAATAGAAAATTACAAGTAGTTACTACAACCGTAGGTTACTAGTCGTGTTTCCCACTTGATG